GCAGGAATTCCAACCACAGATGAGCACGAGAGGAAAAGGGGTAGCTGAGGAGCTGGAGGAGAAGCAATGCAGCTCTGGAAGGGCAGAAGGGCAGTTATCGCCGATATCAACACGTCCCTCTGCACCGCTCAGGAAGTCCAGAGGGACAGAAACCACATTTCAGGCCAAAAGAGCAAGTTGCTTTCGCTGCACTCCCAAATTAAGTTCCTGTTTTGCACTGGGAGAGCAGATTTTACAGATCTGGTAGCCACCAGAACCAAGGTGGTGGCTTGCCACCTTAAGTGGCTTGCCACACTTACTTGTGCAAGTTTTACTTGGATCCAAGATCATGCCAAGGGTGAGAGTCTCCTAAACGAGGCACAAGCCTTGGTATGGAGGGAATACCTACTCGTAGGAATAAAAATTCCTCTAGACATCCTGTTTATCAGCTAAGCGTGGCCAACAGTCACACAGACTTCCTTGAATCAACCCCACCCTGCCAACAAGAAGGGACATAAACTGCTGGGTGCCCAGGAGGAGGACAGGGTGGCACAGGGGCACGGAGAGGACAGCTACCACGCTCTTAACTGCTCCAACTCCTTGGGAAGTATGTAAGAGAGGGGAAAAAAAAGGCGGGAGCCAACAGCCTGTTTTCAGTGGAAAGAAGCCATGTAACAGTGAGCGTTTCCTTTCTCCTCTGTGCAGTGAACAAAGGGAAAAGTAAAGAGACTGTCCTGGGCTAACATCTAGTACTTCATGCCACCCTGTCACTTAGATCAAATTATAACTATAATTAAAATTTCCTGCATGGATATCATTCCATAAAGAAACCACCTTTTCCATTTCAGTTCCGTTGTTTCTATAGCAGTTAAAATGGGGGAGAAAACCCACCTCTTTCAGAACACCCTCACGTGATCAGTCTGATCAGTAATAGTTACAAAAGTCTAATTATGCCAACGAGCGTTCCCATCAGCCAGCGATCGATCTCCTCCATCTAACGAGAGCCAACAGATGGCACCCACAAATTGACTGCATTGAAAAGAAAAATCAACATGTTTATTTGGGAGAAACACATTTCCTAGAATTGTTCCGAGGAGTCCTCCTGCTCCAAATTGCTCCTGGAAAACCCTCAGTAAACATCCACTGGATGGATCCTGCTGCAGAACATCCACCTCACTTGGTTCCCGTTCCTGTGCAAGGGCACCTGGCAGAGCTCAACTGAATGAAAAGCCACCACCAGTGTGGGTCTTTGGACTGAGGAATGGATAAACCTGGAGAAGGTCAATGGAAACGCAAAGGCAGGAACCTGAATTCCTTCTACATGTGCAAATTATGGCAGCAAGAAGCTGTCTCCTTTCCATCAACTGCAGCTACAGTCTTACTGGGCTGACAACGTGAGCTGTCAGAGGGACAGAGAACTCTTCCCAGCTGCTCCTGCCTGCCAGAAACACTCGGGAACATGACCTGCTTGGATTGAGCAGCTGCTGGAGAGGTAAAACTCACTCCAGTGAGCAGATACCGAGGCTGCACAG